TCCGAGCTGACCAGTCCTTGTTGTACCCATTAATGCCGAGCGCCAGGTAGGGACCAACAAGTACCATATCTTAATGTCTTTTGGTATGACGCGGTCATATCAAATGACATTAAAATATGCTGTTTGTTGGAGGGATACAAACCAGAAGTCAGTACGTGTCTGAGTGGAATGTCCCGTGTCCACACACGCCCGCGCGTACGCAGGCATGTGCGGGTTACCTATGTACAATTGTCATGAACGCAAGGTTGAAACCTATATTCTTCTCAATCCCATATTCTTCTCAATCCCGTTTATCCATACATTTCTTTAACAACAAGGGGGACGGGGGGTAGTCACGCCGAAGACCATGGTTTGATTCCCTACATGGGTACTATGTGTGAAGCCCATTTCTAGTGTCCCCCGATGTGATATTGCTGAAATATTGCTAAAACGGCGTAAAATCATACTCAAAGAAAAACAAAACATAAAACAAAAAAAAAACTTAATCAGCACGCTTTCGTTAGAAAACGCGCAGACCTGTTTAAGAGGTTTCCATTGAATGTTGAAACCTACTTCCAGGAACTCTAATCCTAATGAAACCAGTTTCACTGCCCTACTTTCCAATGACAGTCTACTACTTCTGAGTATGATGGATAAGTTGTACAGCTAACTGGAATGGAAGGCTGTGCTTATAATTTTAAAAATCAATACTGCGTCATATTGTGATGTTTTGTTACTGTTTACATCGTAAATCAATGTCACTTTATCTGCTACACTGAGTTCAATTTCATCAAAAGCTAATAGGCAAGTAATAAATACTTATTTTCAATACGGTGTACTACATAATTTGAATCCTGTGATATTTGACCATTGTTAACCCAGATCTTTACCGGTACCCATAAAGAGTGATAGGCTTCATATGTGATGTGAGATTTTTCGAATTGGGGCCTGAACAACATGTCACGTTGTACGTGTATTGGTTTCGAATAGGCTAGAAATCCCCCCAAATAACGTTATCGCCATTATAGTATTTCTTAGGTGTCCGTATAATTCTTGATTTTAAGCACCATGAAGGTGCTCGTAGGTTTCAAAGATTACTTCGTCTGGCTATTCTCCCACATCGTGTATTTAACTGAAATGATGTAATTATTTATCTCAGAATAACATTAAAATCCCTAACACCTGTTATTGAAACTTTCATTTTCATTTTTTGATCTTTGATTTAATTGATTGTAATAGTTTTCATCATGTTGAATTAGTGACAGAACTGGAATAGTAACTTATTATATTGAGATGTCATTAAAGATTACAAGTGACTTTGAGAAGCTGCCAAAATACATATTCTAACAAGAATCACTAGAAAAATTTAAAACCCTTTAAAACAGGAAAAAACAGAATGCTATTTCCTGAGGATAGACGGTGTTCATTTGTAATTTCTATCATCCGTCAAACCAAGATGTCCCAATTGAGTGTGGTCATTTCTATAATGGATTACAAGGATTTTATTTTATTGATCAATATAGTTTATTGTTTCAGTAACTACGTTTTTTCACACATTAAATTCTGTCACACACTAATGTCATTAGTGTATCAGTGAATATTTTTGATAAACTTGTGGTTCAACTGTTGTGCTTGTCGAAGGCCTGTTTCTTCGCGAAACAGGTCCAAATTACCACCGATTGTGAATGTGTTGGTCACAAGCATATTTCACAGTGATGATATTCTCTCTCTCGAAAACATGTGTAAAGAGCGCCTGATACGTTCAAGTGAGCTTGGGGTGAAAATTGATTTCAACAGCTGGGCTGCGCTGCGCTGGGCTGCGCTCATAGCGCATGCACAGTGAATAGGTTCGCGCAGCTTGGACTCGGGATGTCCGGATTATAAGGGCGTGAGCAAGAGTAGTCTAATCAAAACAAATAGTAAATCATCTACTCGTTACATAAAAGAACCTTGTTAGGATCTAGATCTACTCAGCTATGTGTCAACCAGTGAGGCGTTCGACATTTCAAGACGGAAAACCTTCGCTGGCGGTGAGTACTCGGTGAAGGCTTTGGTGTGAGCTATTTTCTAATGTTTTGTTGATATTTCACAAGCGTGAGCTTTGTATATGTTATACCAGTAGATTACCGATTTAACTGTTTATATAATTTCATTTGTCTATTTCACCACACGTTCTTCTTACCGAGTTACTTTCTCAGTTCGATACTTGAAGGCAATGTCATTATTTAGCATTTACAGAATTTCTAACTGTGATATATATATGTCTTTGTCACAGACAAAACTCAATGTCTGTTTTATTGACACCTATGTGTCTGCCTGCCTGTCTGCTAATGACAATATGCAATACACAACTTCGATCACTGACCACATGCAATTTGAACTTGAACTTGAACACCCATCAGGCTATACACCATAAACAAAACGCATTGATTTATGGCTCGTGTACCGAGTTCGGCCTCTGTCACATTATGTAATTACACAGACAGGGGTGATACTTGTACACATGACATGTTATGATGTCTGTTGATTGCAAAATGCTATACACAAAAAATGAGCATGTATTTACAAAACCCAACATCTCTGTATACACACACACACACACACACAATGAGCCGTGAAGGCTACGGCAAACGAACCAGCCAATGAAAGCCTTCGTTACACTTGAGTGCACACCCACCCGCTCTGACTGGGTTTTCGGTATCCCGGGTACTTTGTTTCGAGGGAAGTAAAGCCAAGCACAAAATATTGCACTTTTGATTTGCGACTGCACGCTTTTAATTTTGTTTATATGTTTTTTCATAATCAGCAATGTATATTATATATCATGAATAAGTGATAATTGTGTTTTAATTATGTTTGTTTTTTTGGTTGCATGTGACCTTTAAGAATCGATTCCAAAGATGCAAAGTAAGCAAAAACTGATTTTTATTGATGCATAAGTTTAGCTCGGGCAGCAGGACCAAATGACTAGAAGTGTGGGCATGTATTGCTCCTACCTGTCTTATACCCAGGACCCGATCGCGTTTTTCTGGTGTCAGTCGTAGTATTTCAGTTTTGTTATACTTTGACGTGCCGACAGTATCATGTATCTACCTTTGGCTGCACAAACTGCACAATTTGTTTCACTTTTTCTGAATTTCTACACGTGCGGTGTACGTGTATCACTTTCTGCATAGAGCATTTCTGTGTTTGGTAGATGGGCTGGCATTGATCTAGTTTGAACATCTGTTCTCACTTTTTTGCCAACTTATTTTTAAAGTGGTGTAGTGTGTCAGTTGATAAAACATCTGTACAGTTGAGATTTATCTCTTCATGACAAAACAATGGAGCTATTAAATGATGGAAATGATTTACTTATCAGACTGTTGGTTAACTATATTGTTTTGTTTAATGTCTGTTTTATTAATCTCACACTGTGAAAGGTTGGCATGTTTGCTTGTTTGTTGTTTAACGCCGCACTCAGCAATATTCCAGCTATATGGCGGCGGTCTGTAAATAATCGAGTCTGGACCAGACAATCCAGCGACAAGTAGCATGAACATCGATCTACGCAACTGGGATACGGTGACCAAGTCAGCGAACCTTACAACCCGATCCCGTTAGTCCGCGCTTACGACAAGCATGGTTGCTGAAGACAATTTTAACCCGGATCTTCACGGGTATGCTTTGCATGTAAGTGTTTATTTGTTTTCAGATTAGAAACAAGAAATACCCAAATAATTAAATCTTAGAAATGACAGCAAGCAACATGTCGGGCTTTCTTACCAGATAAAGTTGTTGTAAATGAAATACTGTTTAAAGCGGCTTAAAACCAAGCTCACTCCATAAAACATAATTCTTCCATATCTTTACAGAACAGAATACATTCCCATCCTTTTATGTTTTAAAATGAAGATATGTATCAAAGTGATCTCATATACACCCTAAAGGCGGACAGCTGATAATATGTTAATTCATATTTGGTCGGACAAAGTAGGTTTGACATGAGCGCAAAGGAAAATCATTTTCCAAGAAAAGGAAATGACATGTGGCCTATAATATTATTGCCACGTATAAGTACTAATATTCACTCACACACTCACACATACACGCACTCACGCACGCAGACAGAGAGAGATGCACGCACGCATCCACGCGCAGATGCACGCACGCACGCACACGTACATACATACACACAAACACACACATACATACATACAGATATACATACATACATACATACATACATACATACATACATACATACATACATACATACATACATACATACATACATACATACATACATACATACATACATACACACACATATACATACATACATACATACATACATACATACATACATACATACATACATACATACATACATACATACATACATACATACATACATACATACATACATACATACATACATACATACATACATACATACATACATACATACATACATGAGCTTTTCCTTTCTCTCTATGTAAGCACACATTTGAGCCAAATGGACATATATTATATTTTGTCCAGAAAATAGAAAACTTATTACCGGAAGAACTTACCACACCGAACTGTCCCCATGCACAGATAAAATATTCAACATGATAATGGTTACCGAAAGATAGATTCTGCTGGACGTTAAACAGCTAGATACAAATATCCTTCCCGGTGTTAATCGTCCCTTGGAGACGCTAGGATAATAAAACTTCCCGACTGTTTAAACTAGCCAGCGACATATATGCCATGTTAAAACCCCGCAGTCCTTCATCGCAGCATCTCTACAAGCCGAGCAACTACATCGAATCGACAGGGAGTTCAATGACGCTGCCAGCAAGTGGCCAGAACCTCGCAGGCGCTTCCATCGAGAGAGATATATCACTGCGTTTATCTCTTGCGAATTTTCATTGAGCTCCTTGCTTCATCTTCGTCAGGCTTTACATGTAGGTATGATGCTTAAGTTTTAGCTTGACTCACATGTCGACCAATCATCTGGAAGTATGATGTCACGTGGTGTAACAAGAGGAATGTGGTGCTTGTTTCGGTGCTGACAGCTCATTGCTGAATTCGCTACGATGGAATAGACTGGATTATATGTACTTTTACCAAGACGTGGAGTCAGTTACGTGGAGATGTAAGTATATTGTTTTCCTTCCTCTAGTTACCGAACATTTCCGCTTGTTTGATTAATATTTAGGAACATTAGTTACTGAGATACAACATCCTCAACGCAAAACATGGCTTCCTCTCGTCTCTGCTCACTATTGCAAACGTGAATATATGATTTCTTTCGATTTAAGACAAATTAATTAATGTTAAAAATGTTTCCATACGAAGGATGATGCATACTGCATGTAAGTTTCAATAAGAAATAGACACGCACATGCATTTGTTATATAAACACATGACACAGGTGATGTTAATAACATGTCGAATGCAGGTGGTGTAAAAATACACAGATCTCATCTCAGTTGCATGAAACTCGGATACATCATTCTGCCATAACGCCTATGGTAAGTAACCAGTGTATAACGTATATAAGCAGCAATTATCGCTCTGCAGCGAGCTCAGCTGGCGTTCCGGATAACAGTGTAAATGAAAAATATTGACTTTGTTCTACTGTAGTGGAGTCAAGTGCATATAGTATACCTAATCCATTCGACAAACGGAAAGCGCGCGTCTACTCTGTGTGAACTGACTGACATTTAAATTAAAGTTGTAAACAAACCGCATTGCTTGTTAATCCTCTTCTAAGATGACAGAGGTCAACTTTGGTATAAAGAGATGCCCACAAGGCATATCTGAAAAAAATCTTTATGTATATAGATAGCATCAACAAAGGTTAATGGTCCTCTGTGAAACCCTGAACTAGTTTGCATACAAGGTCGCCAAGTAAATCAATGACAGTATTTACTTTGTTATGATTTCCTAGATTTAGTGGTTTTGTGGCTATTTGTTTTTACTCGTTCTTGTTGTACGGTGGAGAGTAAATGTCAATAATACAGTTCATGGACCTTATTTATGGACATTATTTGTGGACATTATTTATGGAGATTACTTATGGACAATATTTATTATGATGTCCAGGCTGGTCGTAAAATACCGTTAATAATGCACTTCTGAATTCAGGCATGGTGTTAATTGCAAGCTTCTATAAACTAATTATGTTTGTTATTCAGTAAATTGGCACCACTAGTCGTAGGAGTAGCAACCGTCTACTGACTATGGTGTCATGTACTTTACAGATACCAGTGGAATGTATGCTTATTCTTGTACAAGCTGTCAGAGGAAAGTACATATCAGATATATATGTACGTGAATATGTATAAGTATGTGCTAATGTATCTTATATATCTCACATGTATCATGTATAACCCTGCTGTAGGACTCAACCGCTGGCATATACGAACAACCGTTTAAATCGGGTAACCATGTAAATGAATATATTAAGAAACAGGTCTAAGATTGTGCATACCTTCGAATTCACCGAGTTCGAATTTCTGTGATCAATAAGACGCATGCGGTTCGCACGTGTTCTCGCCATCACGAGATAGGTACGGATACAAATGGTACTGGAATATACCAGACACGCTCCACCAGTGCTCCACCTCGAGACCACCAATATACCAGACACGCTGCTCCAGTGCACCACCCGGAGACCACCAATGTACCAGACACTCTGCTCCAGTGCACCACCGAGAGACCACCAATATACCAGACACGCTGCTCCAGTGCACAACCCGGAGACCGCCAATATACCAGACACGCTGCTCCAGTGCACAACCCGGAGACCACCAATGTACCAGACACGCTGCTCCAGTGCACCACCCGGAGACCACCAATGTACCAGACACTCTGCTTCAATTTACAACCGAGAGACCACAAATACACCACCCACACTGCTCCAATATACCATCCACATACCTCCAATACAGATGTCATTCCTCTGAAATATACCACTCCTGCAACTAATATACTACTTTAAATCTACACACACACACATCCCAAATATACCACATACAACTCCAATATAGCACACACAAAAACAAATATATACCACACTGCCAGTAGTGCAACTCTAATATATACCACACACCGAGTTGAAATATTAACACCCCCCCTCACACTGTTCCTATGCACCACCCACAAGGCTTTATTGATAAGCCACACTGCTCCATTTCACCACACATTCTGCTTCGAAATGAGTCACACACTGCTGCAACGCAAAGCCAGCACTATTAAAGGAACCTACAGAAGTACTCTGATACACACCATGACACTACTCAAAATACACACACACACACACACACATACAAACACTACCTCTTCTCCCATACATCTACGTTAAGTACAAATATTCCACTCCACAGCGTCAAGAAACACTTCTCACTTACATCTAAACCACTTCCCTGATACACCCAATTCCAAATACATACAGCCACATACCACATGTACCTACTCATACCACTGCAATATCCCACATCCTGGCATCAATACACTACACAATACCACTATACATTTCCTACCAACCCTTCTCTATTATGCCCACTAACATCTTTTCCATCTTAACGGAATAAGCTGGTTAGATGGAGTTTAACTCGACAAGAGCACAGGTCTACTCACACCACTCTGCTTTTAAGTCTATTTGACCAAACTAAAAGCAGTCCAGCCACAGACGCTCAGTGTATTCCATTCCATAATGAGCCATAGTTATGAGTAACGGTATATGCGCCTCAACGATCCCTGTAAAGTATGTACAACAATATGCACTTAACTCAGCGACGCTGCAGACTGACGGTGCTGGTTTAGACGTCCCCGGGGAAGATCTACAGTCAGGGAAGCAAAGAACCCACAACAAACGCATCGACTTTAAATTATATTTTTTCGTCCTTTTCAATTTGCGATATTGAAGCCGAAGGCAGCAAAATGAAACTTTTGAGATAATCTGGGTTCTGAGAAAAGAGGACCGTGGATCAACACTGGAATATTTCAAACCGCTGATTGATCTCTCCAGAACGAAAGTCTTTTTTCCTCATTCGGTTTCCGTCTTTCTTCATTAAAGGTGGGACGATGTGAAACGAGTTTGACGTCGCGTTGAAAATTACGGGCTCGTGTGTCTATGTCTGTTTGCATTAGTCAGGAGTTTTGATTTGCTGGCTCAATGAGATCCGATGTAGCAGTTTGACACGGATAAACAGATCTGACACAATACACTGACTCCGATCAGATAACATTTTGACCGTTCAGTCCCTGCTTCGTCCCCTATGTGCTGAGTCCCAGTTCAAGGTAAAAACAATTAATTTCGTGGACCTCACACACTGTACCCGCCTAATTCTACTCTACCAAACATACACCTTCTTGCCATTTACAAAATGCCAGTTACACTTGTCACATATACTTAACCACACATTAGTCACTGTGTTGCACACACCACACTACGGCATATGCCACACTATCAACGGACCACTCACCACACACAGCACGTAACACACCGCACGCACCACACACCACATATCACACACAACACAGCACAGCACACACCACGCAGCATCCACAACATATCACACACCACACACCACACAATACGCACCACACAACACACACCTTACGCGGCACTCAAAACATAACACACAACACACAATACGCACCACACAACACACACCGGACACAGCACTCAAAACATAACACACAACACGCACCACACAACACACACCGGACGCAGCACTCAAAACATGTCACACAACACACACCAGACGCAGCACTCACAACATGTCACACACAATGCAAAACACACGCAGCACAACACGCATCATTCACACACAGACAGCACACACCACGCGCTACACACAACACACAAGACACAGCATCCACAACATATCACACACCACACAATACGCACCACACACCAGACGCAACACACAGCACTCACAACATAGCACACATAGCACAACACACACCACACACCGGCGCAGCACTCACAACATATCACACACAGCACACACCAGACACAGCACTCACAACATATCACACACAACACACACCAGACGCAGCACTCACAACATATCACACACAGCAAACACCAGACACAGCACTCACAACATATCACACACAACACACACCAGACGAAGCACTCACAACACATCACACACAACCTAGCACCACACACCACACGTCACGTATCACACAACACACACCAGACGCAGCCCTCACAACACATCACACACAACCTAGCACCACACACCACACGTCACATATCACACAACTCACAACACACAACACATACCACAGACAGCACACTATCCACACTCAATACCAGATACCACACTTCACCACATCATGTATCAAGGATTCTGTACTTCAAATACGTTAACCTCCTCATGGTTCGTTAGATAAACACAATGTCAAGAAATTTATTATTAATTTGAACGTCATCGTGTATGTGTAAGTGATTATCTACCTCGATGCACCTTCAGTCTGTCACACATAACCTTCCAAGCATATTTAATATTATTATGTATGCAAACAGCCGGTGTACCGTTCTCATTCCCACACATTTAGCTTACAAATGAACTATGTGAATAGACGCACTCAAACACACTTGGAACACGTGCAATGCTGACATCGATACAACAATAGCTATATATTGCATCAAACAAACATATTAGGCTCAAATTTAAGAAAACTCCCAGAAACCATGAACCGATTGACAAATCCATCCGTGTTCATGAAACCTAACAATGCCTGACTTTTCAAGCTCCAGAGGATCAATCATAACGTGATTAAACAGAGTGTCGTCTTGTAACTCTACCTACATATTTCATCAAGTTACACCTGATAACTCAGGTGACTAAACGCGCAAATCAATATGAAATTGATTAAAGTTCCTTTCATCCGACTTGGTGAGCCTATCACAGCTGGCGTTTAACTGAATTGTTAATATATAACAGTGTTCTTGTATTAATGATTGAATTGTTCTTTTATTACGAAAACGAGTTGTAAATGCCACGCATCCAGTCTTATAACATGACCCAGTTTACATAGTTACATAAAGCCCTATTGAATGTAATTTGGTGGTGGTGGGGTAGCCTTGTGCTTAAAGCTTTCACTCGTCACGCCGAAGACCTGGGTTCGATT